AAGAAAAGTTGACTAACTTTCTTGATTTTCTTTATGGCGTCCATTTTTTGGTGATCGAGATACTTTTAGTTGGTCACATATATACTTCCTATTGATATTTTTCTTGCATTTTCATCTTCCTTTCCTAGGAGTTGAAGAAAAAGCAAGAAATAAGGACACGTGAAAGAGACGTGGTTGCTGGCATGTTTACTCCGCCAACTGCTAACCAGTCATGGAGGAAAGTATTGGGCATGGGTAATCTCCTTAACGGGCATGAACCAATTTTAAGGGAGATAACATTTTCCAAACGTGATCGAGTGAGCAATAGTTATCATGCTGACTCTGCTTCTAAGTTTTACCAACAAGAAATAGAAGCATACAGAATGTATGTATGCGAAACTTCAAATGATCTTAGGGTAGCACTTGCCGTTGCCTCTTGTGACTAATTATATTCTCTTGTACAGTGTATGTATATACGTATTATTCTTGCTTCTGCTGCAAATATTCATGAATTCATATCTTAACTAGTGAAATAGATTTATGAGATGAATTAAACAATATGATTTTGAAAAATCATTAGTTAAATAATTCATTTTTCAAATACATATGATAAAGAAGAGTGACTTTTTTATTGGTCGTGATGGTTCTGAGGTTGTGGAGGAAAAAATGTAAGGTAAACGAGTCACCACACATCCCTCGCGGGCCTCGCCCCTACTTGCTGATGTTCTGAATAATCAGTGTCACGATCAAATTAATGGAGTGAATGGTGGTTGGTCGATCAAGGGTTTAAGGACAACAATCATACTATAATATTTTACATCATTATTTACATTGTGTCATGTGGCAATAGACTATTGAACAGTTTTGAAAAAAATAGTTTTTTCGTCCACAATTTTTTTTAAAAAAAGAGGGTATCATCCTCATTTAAGGGAAAAGCTGTATGAGTAGCATTATTGTAAGGACAATGGGGCATGCTATTTTGTCATTCATGTTGCCTTGATTGGACTGATTATCCACTGCGTTAAATTCCGTGTTAATCGCACCCTCTTGGAACTGTACTCAGAATTTGTAATTCAGCACAAATGATATTGAAGTTGTTCTGTCCAGACTCCTAGTCTGAGGAACAAGATCAGTTACAACTACCACCAAATCACATGCAAACGGAGGTTGGGATTATCTCGCTCGTTCGACCTCCAGTCCGACTGTCCGAGAGTAAGTATTTGAAGAGAAAAATTATATAGGCAAAGAAAAACTTGTATTATGAAGTCTGGTTTGACCTCTGAGAGTAAGTATTTGAAGAGAAAAACCATATAGGCAAAGAAAAACTTGTATGTATGTAGTCTGGTAAAAAGGCGTTTAAGAACATCTAACGTCATTTGGGATATATATAGACCATCTACTTTTTTTTTTTTTTTTATTGACGTAAGAACCGTAGCCACTACCCACCAGTGGAGCCCGGACCACCTCGAAGGGGCGGAGACCCGACCACAATGAGTGTGCACTAGGTAAACTCTGCTCCATGTGCAATAACCCGAAAATTACATAGGAGAGTTAAATCGTACTAGGCAAGCCTGGTGCGACGGTTCGATCGAGGAAGTGTTGGTAGGGAATTCGAACTCGTGACTTTTGGTCTCTGCGTTCACCTGCTCCATCGACTCGACCACCCCTAAAGGGGAAGACCATCTATTATTGTTTATGTGCTTGGTGGTTTTGTTACTTACAAAAATAATTAAAGTTCGCTTGGACTTGTTCGCCATAGCCTACGTGGACAATGGGCTGCCATTGTCGAAATCTATCCGAGCAAAGGAATATGGACATCTATATTTGGCTGAAAACATGATTAGAGGCCTCGATCAGGAACATGAGTAGAGGCCTCGAATATCGGACATCAATTGTAACCTCAGTGTTGTTTATAAGAACATTTTCAAGAGACTTTTTAAATACAAAATACTATTTATTTTGGTGAATCAATACTAACAAATGAGCTCCAAGGGATTTTCTAGTTTTAACTTTTTAAAATAGAGAGTGGATTGGCTCTCCAAATTTAAAGAATCAAATTCATTCTATATTCTTAATTTACAATAATTGCATTTAATAAATCACATATTTCAAAACTATAATTCTTAAATTATTTAAACTAAGTTTAAATTTGGTCAATTGACGTATAAAAATTACGTTAAACAAAATATGAAGAGAAATCAATAAGTGTTTATTGAGTAAAGCAAAATAAAGAGCCAAAATATTGTTGGAGTGTAAAAATTTTGACTCTCTAAATTTAAAGATGTTCTCTATAATATATACTCTTTATGAATGTAGGATATTTTGTAGATGCTCCGACAAAGTAAGTTTAATGTTTGTGCCTTTACGTGTACACATGATATTCCTGAACGAGTGCCCCATTGAAAATAACTAAAATGCCCTCATAAATCATCTATAAATAAATCATCGTACAATAAAAAAAGGGAAAATTGAAAGAGCATCTCCCATAAAAAAGATCTCAAATTGTAAGGATATATGGGGTCGGATATCTCGAAAATAACTCATAGAATTTGTATAGGACTCTACTGTACAAATTGTGGCAGCATCATGTGCATCCGTGTGTGTGTTTTTTTCTCATCTTTGAATCTGTGTTGTTCATTTCAAATTTCTGTACCAATTTCCTGTATACTGATTGTTGAAATAATATTTTTGATTGATAAACATGTTCAATGAAAGAAGGTCAAAATATCAATCTCTCTCATATTGAACGATGGCTTCAAAAACACCAAAAATCCCTTAACAAGAGGAAATCATGCCGAAGTGGAGAAAAGTTATATCGTGGTTTTAAAAAATATTATCCATTTTTTTTTAGGGCAACACCACCTATGATCTATCTAACAATATCTACTGGAATTTTATACTAAATTCACATAATTCAAAGTGCCAATCGTTGTCCAAATAGTTAACCAATGGCTTGCTGAGTAGGTAATCGTAGTCGATTTATTCTCTCTATGATGATCGCCAACTTTTCTGAATGTTGGCTTAGTGCTTTATTCTGTTTCCAGTATTGTTGTCGGTAGGTATTTAATTCTAATTTTATTTATTGATGATATAGTGGGATCAGATTTTTATTAATCCAATCACATTCGACCTTTTGTTTGATTGATGAAAATCGAATATTTAACATACAAATCCTAAGCAAGCAGTAGGGGGTGAGTAAAAATCAAAAAATGGATTCGAATTCGCCTTTTGAAATCATCAATTTTGTGCTGCGTGGACCTATCCATCAATTCATCATCGTTCATAGTTTATAGCTTGGAGTTCATATTTCGAACAACAAATCCTCTTCCCGCGGCAAATGTTTGAAAGCCAAAAACCTATGCAAAACGAACAATTTAATCTGAAACATTTTATGACAAAATTGGACCACCTACACCTTTACTAAAAGTAGCAGCAAATAACCTGAAAATTCTTTGCAAAAAAATTGGAAGAACAGAGAGAGAGAGAGAGCCCCCATTATATCCCGAGAAGGCACCGTGGTCAGCCCTGGTATGCCCCAATGGCCCAATATATTAATCACATGGTTGGCTCCTATTAAATTTTAATTTATTTTTTCTCTCTACTCTTATCGATCACACATTCTCTCAATAAAATAGTATTACGTATAAACTCAATTTTTTTTTATTTTTTAATTAAACATTCTTCTAAAAATACTATTTCAAAATTAATTTTTTTTTTTTTAAATAATGAAGAAACATTCAAAGGACAAAAGTAAATTTTAACCTTATCTCCAAAAAAAAGAAAAAAAAAACATTATCCATTCATTTTTAATATTCTGTGTCCCCTCAAATCCCAGAAATCAGTTTGGTACAACTCCACTTGTCCAATCTAATTCTCGATTACCCGTCACATCAACACAACACAACACAACACAACAATACAACTCCTATTTTCTATGCTCCAATCTACTTATCGAGTCATTGATATCATCGATAATTATTTTTTCAAATTTTTAAGAATAATACTATTGTTTGAGTTCAAGTGGCCATGGTTTTCAATTGTTTCAAAGTTAATCGAACTATTTGAAAATGGTTAGATATGATTTTAATAGTTTAAAGTCGCTTAAAAATACATAAAATTGTACGTTCATTTTTTTTAAAAATAAATTTATTTGTTAAAGTATATTATTTATTAGATCAATTTACATTTCAACGCTTCCTAATAGTTTATTATAGTATTTTTTTTTCTTATTAAAAGAATGAAACTACGAGTTTAAATTTATGGTTGAACCTTGTATTAATTTATTAGTTTAAGCTTGAATTGAGATCAATCTATCAGTATTGCATTTATATTTTGGAGGTTTCAATCGTTTTATAATGAAATTTCAAATCAATATATTTATTTTCAATATTATTATTTCGTTAGAACTGTAATTTGAAATCAAATAAAATTGAAAAAATAATTTTGTTTGGATTTTCTCAAATTGTTTGAAATATCTTATATTTGAAATTAGTTCAAAATTCAAATCGTGTTACTCGACTAAAATATCGACCAATTGACAATAAATTATATTAAATAGGATCATATATTATTTTATTTAATATTAATTGAACTTATCTTATAAAATTTCAACTAAATGGGTGAACGTGAACGCGTGGCTCTAGACAGATGTTTGCATGGATGATGCTACACGTACATAATGCAATATCCATAACAATGTTCATCCCCTCACATGGAAGCGGGCCCACTTCCATAGAGGGGATTGACATCGTTATGAACAGCACATTATGTACAAGTAACATATTCCTGTTGGCATTCCCTCTCTTTTCTCCAGAAAAATTACGAGCGGTCCGATTATGTTATTTATTATTTTAATTAATTAATAAAACAATCCAACGGTTCTTGCATGATTACCTATTTGCCGTCAGATACACAACGTGCAGTTTCCGCATGCACAAGAAGATGGATGATATTGTAAATAAAATTAATAAATTATTCAAAAAATATATATTTTATTTCATTGCATTAAAATTGTATCGGTATTATCTTGTACGTGCTGTCGAGGGAAACAACAGACTTCCGCCGTTAATGGCGGCGTCAAAACCGACGGCTCGACATTTAACGCAGTAACTCTGGTTAGACGGCAACGTATAAGGGAAGAGATTCGCCGTCCGACGGTACGGACCAAACCACTTGTTCTGCAAAAAACGGTGTTTTCGCCATGGCGGTAGAGTGAGTTCTCTGCATATCAACGATCTTTTTGCGCCGTCGCTCATTATCTTCAAAATCTGCTTCAATTCCTCGTCCTTGCCGACGAACACTGTCGGAATGAATTGCAGTAGATGCTCGTAAAAATTCGTCGGCCTTGCTATTTTGAACTCGGCAGCAAAATCTAGATCTATGAAATACCGAGTTGAGTCTCGCAGTATAACGTCGATGAACTCGTAATTTCCGGCTGTTAGCCCGCCGGAGCTCTCCCATTTCGTCTTGCATATTGCCGCATTGTGTCCGTACTGTCTCAAAAACGCCATCACGTTCCGCCGGAAAATCTGTTTGTCCGATCTCACGCTCGAAAACACTTGCACAGCTTTTAAAACATGAGCCAGAAGCATATTCTTAAACGAATCTGTCCGATCATTGAGAATTCGTTCAATCAAATCTCCATTAGCAGGATCATACGTTGATGAATCGCGTTCATCAGAATCCAGATCATTGTTACTCTTCTCTACAGAAGAATAATCTCCGGCAGTATCATCAATAGGAAAACCGAAGAAAAGATAGGGTGAAACGACGTCGTCATCAGCTTGAGCACTGTGTTCGCTCCCACTGCTGCCGAAGATCCGTGCCTTCACTTTATCGTCCAACGGGTCAGTGACTCTCTTCATTCTCGTCAAATCGAACATTTTGTCTCCTTTTCAGTTTTCAGATCAGATAAGGATAACTGCTTGGTTTTATAGCAAAAATACGAGTTTCCATCTGTAGAGCCTTCACCTGATGGAGACTAGTGATTACTGATTATCTTTGATTATTAAACTAAAAGTTGGTGCTTCTAAATGAGAAGGAATTGTAAAAAATGTCCACTTCTACAGAGTCATTTATAAAAATGTCCAAATTTTTTTAATGTCCATTTTACTATGACATAGACCAAAGAGCAATGTTATTCATTTTAAGTGGGTATGAATACACAGTTTATATGACTTTAAATGATAGGTTAAATGAAAGGTAAAATTAAATGACTTATTTAATTTCACCTATCATTTAATGTCACATTGACGCCATGTAGATTGTGTTTCCATCCCCAGTAGGGATGAATAGCATTACTCTAGACGAAAATGCTCTCATTGACAATTTTAAATTTCACAATGAAGATAAAATTATTTATATAATTAAAATTTGTACTAACAAATAATAACTTGATACATAACATATATTACTCATTTTAAAAAGTATTATATTAAAAAAAACATTTATGAAATGTCGATGAGTATACTTAAAATGTCAATAATATTATGAAATATATAAAACTTTCATTTTCAGAATGAAATTTTGTTATAAACAAATGAAGTATTAAGTGTCAAGATAAAAAGGGTCCAAATGTCAATAACAACTTTTAAAATGTTGAGAATGCTATGAAATGTCAAGAATAACAACTATTAAACACAACTTATCAACAAAAATAATATTTCAAAGAAAAATTACTTTCTATCGAGAATTGTGGAAAACCTAATCGACTGCAAATTTGGATAAGATTAAATTTTCCGAAATGAAAGTATATGATTTTCTTATGAATTGGAAGTATATAATTGTTTTTTAGTGTTAATGATTTTTCTACTTCATCTTCTTCATTTTTTCTCAAATTTCTTAATCAATACCTAATAGATAATAAAAGCTAATGAATCAATTATGTATTAGCTAGCATTAATGTAGTTTCTCATGGAAGTTACTTGTTCTTCTTGAAATTCGTGACAATTTGAAAAAAAATGCTTCATTTTTCAGTGGGATTATAATAGACAATTTGGTACCAACTTTGACCATTTTTACAAAAATTAAACACTTTTCAATTGATAAACATGTAATTGGCCATTTTTGTAAGTTGCCCTGTAAATTCATATAATTCCCAGGAATTCACAACCGAATATTCCTATTAAAAAAAACTATCTGATACAAGGAAACTTTGGAACATTAAAAAAAAGAAAGTAGTATATGATTTGGTGAGACGGCATATCCATTGGTACCAATGGATTATTCTTGTCGTACATAATAGATGATGTGGATGGACGTGATAGGGCCACGAAGTTATAACACAGTGGGCACGGAAAAATGGGTTTGTACCTCCAGGCTCCACATGCCGCTTTATCCTGTCCTGTGGATAAGTTCGGTGGTTGAAAATCATCATTTTTTAGCTTGTGGGATTGAGAAATAATTAAGAAAAAATAGGAATGGGCTCTTGATCTTTTTAGTGGAGTAGTTTTGGGTCTTTAACTTTTAAATTCTCAGTTTATAGGCATGACAACCGGACGGGTACGTAACAGGTCGATTATTTTCATCATCGTCCCGTTGGATGTTTTTATTACTTACCCCATCTCCATACTCTATTAAAGCGGGACGGAACGAGTTCAAGGTGGGGCATGGCAGGTCTCCTGCCCTATTTATCCCATTTTTTAATTATTTTTTATGTCTTTAATTAGTTAAATATTATTGTTTTTTTACTAATTTGTTAAAAACAACTCATGTCCTCTTTAAAAATGACGATAAATTTATTATTTTTGTTCGATAAAAAAACTTGAGTTTGAAATTAACTTTAAACGGGACGGGTACTATGTTTCTCATACCTGTCCCGTACCCATTTCGAGATAATGACTCTAGCTCCGTTCCCCGTTTATCGGGTTGGCGGGACCCCAATGATATCAAGTTAAACGAGTTTTTTTTATCATCCCTATTAGTTTATTTAAATCAAGAAAATAGTTGATGTATATTGGATGTTTATGTTAAAAATAGGCTAGGGACCAAAATCTAACGTTGGAAGATTGATGACCCAAAATCACACTAATTGAAAGGTTTAGAAACTTACTAACTTTCTCCGAATAAATATTGTGCAAGTTGAAATAAAGTCTAATTTTTTTATATTGCTACTCCTTAATTTTTTATTATTATTTTTCATGAACTTATTCAATTGGAAAAATGGAATTTATATGATATCAAGTTGAGATTACCTAATATATATGATTGGAAATCGTTACATATCTTATTTTTCGGAGTAATACTAATTATTCCTATCGAAGATGATCACTGTGATGACTTCTTTTACTATTCCAAAAATTATAATTACAAATATTAAATCGGGGCTATTTTTTTTTTTTTTCCAAAACTTAGTTATTTTTAAAATCTATATGAAATAGATCCTAATATCACAGTCATGTTGGCTAATGAACAAAGTAAAATCTTTATTTAATAGAATCTGGTTATCGTTCAGCAGCACCGCATTAAGTAAAAAAAACAAAAGATGAGCAGCATCCTTGACAGTCCTCTGATCTGGGCCTTGGTGACGGAGGTAAATCGCAGGTTATACCTCAGAGGGTACAGGATGGAAGGCTGTATGTACACTTGCACTTATTCAAGGATTAAATTCATATATCAGGATTCGAACCCTTGACGCGACAGTCTCAAGTAAAGTTAAAATTTTTTCACCTTCCTCTTTTATCACTTAGAGATGTGTCTTGGGGCCGCATTACGTAATAGATAGCATATGTGGAGGGAGAGGTTGGGATAAGCTTATAGGGTTAAAGGTGGCTCTTGGTGGGTGCGAAGGGCAAAGTGAGGAGAAAGGGGTTGATTGATTTTGTTAGAAACTCGGATTTAGATAGATTTGGACTGGACGTGACAAAAAATATATAAATATTTGTTATCTGTACTGACACCTGTCTTATAATGTACAGGTGTGTCTTCCGTAGCAAGAAACACAAAATCGAAGCACTCAAGATTTGGCACGTGTTCATTCATCATTAATTTATTTCCTTAAACAAAATTCAGAATCTGATCCTTATCAGTGCATTAATCTGATTTTTTAAAAAATTCATTCTTCCCAAAGTACATTTTTCCCAAACAGGGGTGTATATACTAATGATATAATATAATTCGTGTTAGAGGACATTTTTCTTACAATTCCTCGTTCATTCATTTTCTTGTCTATTTTCCTTTATTTATCAATGAATTTAAGCAAAGTGATGTGATTAATATTAGGAGCACATATAGATGGATGACAACAGTTTAAATTAAGCCCCTATTTGACCATCATTGTTTTTTAAAAAAGTATATTTTGAATAGTAATTTTTAGCAGAATGTGTATTAAAAAGTTGGAAAATTTCTGGATTTATGTGTGAAATACTTTATTGTGTGAATGTATGACTGAAATTATGTAGAAAAAATAATTTCAAATAATGGTTATCAAATATGAGCTAAATAACACGCATTACACGAGGTCATGATGTGGTTGCAATTCCACGTGATGGGAATAGTCACAATAATCATTTGTCATGTGTCATATGAACATCCCAAAGACCTTGATGTTATGAATAATGTTAGATGTACATTCTTTGTTAACATTAAGGATGATACCCTCTTATGTGGATAGGGGTTAGCATAGGTTGGGTTGTGTCGATTTTTAACCCAACCCAACTCTTGTAAAGGTTGAAATCTAACACAATCCAACCCAACACAATCATATATATGTCATGTTGGGTTGAATTGAGGGAGAGCTAGTCAACAAAAATTAAAATCATCCAATTATCTATTATATTAAATTCGAATAGATAAGATTAAATAATAAGTAAATAAATAAATAAATAAAATTATCTGTTATATTATTCAATCCCCATTAATCGAGCCTACAAAGAACAAAATGTATTTAAAATAATATGAAAAAGTTATACTACATTTCTTGTGGGAAGAACAGTAAACTTCTCCTCTAAAATGCACCAAGGTAATTAGAGTTACACAATACATTCATACTTTTTAGGTTCCTTTTACTTTTTAGGTATTTTATTTTATTTTTATTTTTTTAAAGTAGCTGGATCGGGTTAGGCGGGTTTATTCGATTTTTATGAATTAATCCATAACTCGACCCGACCACACAGCCACCCACCCAACTCCTGTAAAAATGACAAAAAAAAAAAAAACTCAAACTTACCAGGTTGGTTCAGTTTGGACGATTTTGGCAGGTTTGGTCTGGTTTTACCCACCCCTATATGTGGATGAAATTTTACTAGTGAGTTGATAGAGTGTTTAAAATTAAAGGTCATGATTGCTGTCACATCATTGAATGTCAAACTGGATGTTAAAGAAAATTGTACATGTAGCTTGATTGTGATATTATAGTACCAATGATATTAGATAATATTATTCTTACACTTCCTCATTCCTTCTTCATTTTCTTGCATATTTTCTTTATTTATTTTTACATGAAATTAAGCAGAGTCACGTGATCAATACTAGGAGCACGTGTTGATGGATGACTCCGTTAAATAACACACGGCACACATGGTTCATGAACAATTGTTTGTCACGTGTCAAATGAATATGCTATATGCCTTGATTATACAATATAGAGTAGACCATAATTGCAATCGCTTCTAACTAAACAACCTATCAAAGGTCACAATAGTCACATGAGGCAAAGCTTTACATATGTATGAATTGGGGTCACATGGAATGAAAATAGTCACATGATTCAAATTGGGAGCATGTACTAATGGATGACAATCGCCTAAGTCGATCGAATACATGTTCTAATGATACAATTTACAAGTCACAAACTAGGCATCACAAATCAACAACACAGTCATGGTAAAAGGACTAACATGCCAAATGACCAAGGTCACAACATATACATTCGACTCTTTGTCTGTCTGTAGTAACTTCGTTTACACAATTGCAAAGCATTTGAATTCTTGATATCTTCCACCAATGTGATGTTTTGAGAAAGTAGTTAAAATTTTGTATGTTGTAAGAATATTTTTAAGAGAGAAACAAAATATATAAATCAACCGGTTAATATATGGATGAATCCTATAATTCAATGAACATATCAAAACTATTATAATATATATTATTCTAAATATTATACCTTTTACCAATATATGACCTGATTTAGGGCTAATTTTCGAAGGATTTTTGAAAAGTCAAAATTTGTTTTTGGTACTAAGAAGTTGTTTTTAAACATGTTTAATTAATAATTTTCTAAAAATATTTTACCCCTATTGATAGAAATTAGAATTCACATTGTAATTGAACTTAAAGTCAACAATTAGTTTTAATTATATATTTTATACGATCCACAACTTTTTAACCACACATTTCATCAATTTTTATCAGAATTTATTAAAAAATTAATTTTAATCCCCACCAGATTGGGGCTTAATTTGATTAGAAATTTTTTAGAGAAATTTAGTCTAAGCAGAAATTCTGCCCTGATGGGTTCTTAGGATAATATGGTGTTACCAAAATTTTCTCTTCTGGACTTGTAATTTCCAGTTGCTGTAGATACCTTTATTACTAATTTTCAATACTTTCCTATTGTTGTGGGCTTTACACTTTTTTTATGGAAAAAAATCATATATACCCCATATAAATATAAATTTTCTGTATGTACTACAATTTGAATTAAATATCTATAATACTATACAGAACATATAATTATATTGTATATACTTTCTCCTATAATTACTCAAATTTTAATCTTGTAACTGAAATTTAAAAAAATCACACATGATGCAATATATTTTTTTTATAACCGTGGATGTCCGTGCCAACTTGGGCGCACCTCGACTAATCACACAGGGCCTTGAAGTTTACAGTCGGATACTCACATCAATGATCCTGAGAGAATTCGAACTGGTGATCATTGGGGAAGAAACTCAAGGCCTGACCAATTGATCAACCTCTCAAGATTTCAAATTATACTCAACAATGCCTTCACTTTGATATCCTGATTATCATCTCATGTTTTAATACATTAAATCACTACAAGAGACCTCCTTGTCATTCAAATAACTTAGCCTCTTTCAAAATTTAAGCAGAAAGATTACATGGACACAATCCCTAATGTATTGTTTCCAAATCAAACACCATTTGTTTCATAAAAACACAGTTTCCTCCAAGTGATAACAAATTGCTGTTAAATTATTCATTTAATGACATGAAATATACATCTAAAAATAAGTTTTAATACATGTCAAATACCCCCATCTTAGATTTCTAATCAAGTTAAGAGAAATTATTTTTATGACACACGTGACTTCATTTTATTAGCTTACCAAGGAGGTAAGCACTTACAAAAAATGCCAATACCATTCTACTCCGTGTTTTGGGTGCTCATTGTTCCATGATGATGTCAGTTACTCCTTTATTGGTAGAGATTACAGGTTCAAGATTTTCTATAGATTAAGGGCCATATTGAGCATCCGGCTCATTTAAATCAATATGCAGAAATCAACACACAAAGAGNTTTATCTCATTGTACTATATTTTGATGTTATCTCAATGAATAAAATAACAACTCCCATTTCTATCATCTTTAGAATTTCTTCTCCTTTCATATGTGCCGGGACTTTTTGCCTTGATAGAGCGATAAGGCTTGGCTCGTTCCAATGTGCAACATCCACTCTGTAGGGTAGCTCCTGCAGTCTCATTGTCATCAGCAGGTCGAAAAACCAGCTGGTGAGTCACATCTCGAAGATCATTTGGCCCATATCTTCCTAAACTGATCGAGTCGTGAATATAATGAAGAGACCATATCTGCATCGCTTATAGTGGATAGCCGGATGGAGTCGGAGGAAAATGAGAAAAGTTGCTGCAAAGAGTACTAAAACGCCACCGTGCAATGTGATGCCATTCGATATCCCTGAAGCGATGAGGATTAATAATGATGAATAATATTCGGATGCGTGTTTTGAGTAGAAGTTACTTATTTCAATTAAAGTAGAGGTTATTACAAAAGGGTGAGTATATTGACGTTGTTACACAACTTTTTGAGTGTATTAAAGATTCTCAATTTTATTTACGGTTGAACTTATGGCTCTAACTTTTTTAATCACATTGTTATCATCAACCTTCTAATTTATTTAGCATGTTTGATTCCCAATCGTTTAGGTCCAAAAGGTTCGTTAGGAGAGCGTAAAAAGATTTATTTGCTTCTAATATTTTTAAATTAGATTAAAAATAAGGTGTTCAAAAACGCAATAGAATATTTGCCTTTTCATTTCGAAACGCGTTGATATAATATTTGAACAGAAACCATCATAAACAACTAGATGAGTTATCTAATGAAATATTGACTATAAGAATACGATTAAAAAAAGGTGGAGATATAATACGCACATATTCAGTAGTGGATTTAGTACGGGGCAATGGGGTCAACTCCCCCACACTAAATTTCAAATTCGAGATTTTACATAAGTTTTTTCAAGATTTTGTACAAGATTTTCAAAAAATTCCTCGTAGTTATCGATTTTGACCCCACAATGCTCCCATGATTTTAGTTATAGAAATTTGTCCCACAACTCTACAATCCTAGCTCCGCCCCTACACATATTAAGGACATTTAGTACGATTAACAACACATGAAAATTATAGTGCTAGTGTAACCATGCATTATTAAATAATAAATAGTTGTTTACATATAAAAATTTACTGAATTACTATAAGCAGTTTTTTTTAACCTTAGCCAAATATGCACATTAGGGTGTGGTTTTCAGTGAAAATTGATTAATTTGAGCTGAATGGTGCTCTCTCTCCCTCCCTCGTCCTATTATAATCTACTAACATACTAAACATGTCATAAAACCGTCATCTTGAGCCTCGTGGGAGTTATGATTGGTCACTACCATCCATCAATTCTCCAACATATACTCAAAAGATGTGTGTTTTATTTCCAGATGTTATTGCTTTTACATCATAATTATCATTTCAAATTGACAACAAAATTACAATTAAAGGCCAGTAAGACTCCCAGCAGTGAATTCCATGCTTACAAGTATTTTCACCTGCCTACTTCTTTCCTTCAATCCAATCTCAATGTTGCCACCAAAAATGTTTTGACAGTCATTTACAGGCCTTTCACTTTTAGATATATAAGTTAACATGACCTTGTAATTTCCACTTGCAAATTCTTTCATGGCTTTTTCCAAAACCTTCAGCACTGCCCCATAATCAGCATTGCAGATTTCATAAAGATGCCTTATTTCTTTGTTTTTTTCAGCAGCATCTTTCTTCTGTATGAAAATCCGCGTATTGGTCGAGTTTTTTTGTAATTGATTTAGGGCTATTTGAGTTAGACCAATAGTATTTATTCTGAGATGATGAAGGTTTTGGTTAAAAACATCGTTGCAGAATCCATAATCCGGTGTTTTGTGACAAATCGCATCGATCAGCTCTTGAGTAGGATTATAACTCGAGGAAGGTTGAACAAAGGAGAATATGATTAACCATGTTGAAAATATCAGAAGCCAGCGAGTATAATCCATATTTTTCCCTTGAGGAAATTTTTTCAATGAATTCGAAATCGAGAGAGAGAGAGAATTGAGAATGCCTTATTGTATTGTATATGACTCGATTGAACAAAGTGAGCCACCATGAGTATTTAAACAAAGAAAAAAAAATCTTTTTTGAATTTTAGTTCACGGGATATTCTCAACTCTTATGATTTTGAATAGATTTCCATAAAATTCATAAGAATCTCATTAAAAATTATGGAATGTCAAAAGATTTTGTTATGTCTATTTTTAATCTTGAATATTTTGAAATTTCTTTATTAATAAAATCCTTATAAATCCAAAACTTATTGATAATACCTAGATTTTGAATGATTTCATTAAAACCCATTAAAAAATCTTATTTTTGGGAATACCTAAATTTTAATGAATTTCAATCAAATTCATCAAAATTTCGGGGACACCCGAATTTAGAAATACATTTAAGAATCTATTAAACGTTGGATAATTTCAACATATATGGGGCCACACGTTGTATATTGAAATGTGTGGTGCTATTGATTAAAGGATATTAGTCAATTCAAGTGATCCGATAAAGATGTATTGTAGGCTTTTTCCAAAACCTTCAGCACTCCCCCATAATCAGCATTGCAGATTTCATAAAGATGCCTTATTTCTTTGTTTTTTTCAGCAGCATCTTTCTTCTGTATGAAAATCCGCGTATTGGTCGAGTTTTTTTGTAATTGATTTAGGGCTTTTTGAGTTAGACCAATAGTATTTATTCTAAGTTGATGAAGGTTTTGGTTAAAAACATCGTTGCAGAATCCATAATCCGGTGTTTTGTGACAAATCGCATCGATCAGCTCGAGTAGGATTATAACTCGAGGAAGGTTGAACAAAGGAGAATATGATTAACCATGTCGAAAATATCAGAAGCCAGCGAGTATAATCCATATTTTTCCCTTGTGGAAATTTTTTCAATGAATTCGAAATCGAGAGAGAGAGAGAATTGAGAATGCCTTATTGTATTGTATATGACTCGATTGAACAAAGTGAGCCACCATGAGTATTTAAACAAAGAAAAAAAAAATCTTTTTTGAATTTTAGTTCACGGGATATTCTCAACTCTTATGATTTTGAATAGATTTCCATAAATTTCATAAGAATCTCATTAAAAATTATGGAATGTCAAAAGATTTTGTTATGTCTATTTTTAATCTAGAATATTTTGAAATCTCTTTATTAATAAAATACTTATAAATCCAAAACTTATTGATAATATCTAGATTTTGAATGATTTCATTAAAACCCATTAAAAAATCTTAGTTGGGAACACCTAAATTTTAATGTATTTCAATCAAATTCATCAAAATTTCGGGGACACCCGAATTTAGAAAGACATTTAAAAATCTATTAAAGCCCTTGTTTGAGGTCTAGTTAATGAGATTTTGGAAGGATTTTATTACTTACACAAAAAAAAAAAAAAAAGTACATAAAATGATGTGAAAGGAAAAAATGAATGAAAAAGTTGATTGTGTTTTAAACTAATAAATGGAAGAGTGTCGTGTGACATTATTTAATCCGTTAGGTAAATCTTGATGAACATATAGCAAGATTCATTTTTGAATATTAGTTTTTTGAAAAATGTGTGGTTAAAAAGTAAGAAATTTTTTTAAATTTACGTGTAATATTATTTTATTAAAAAATATGTGATTAAAGAGAAGAAAAAATTCATTAAAATTTTAATGAGGGCAAAATTTCAAGGACCATGCTAGTGGTACATTAAGCTTTACATCGGGGGTTACACCCCCCTCACATGGGGGTAGGGTCCACTCGAATAAAAAAAATATTATTTTAGTGGGTTCCACCCCCCATCTGAGGGTGGTGTAATCCTTGATGTACACCACTTGATGTACAAGTGGTATAACCCAAATTTCAATTACCACTGCTATAATTTTTGTGGGGGGTTTTTGTATTTTCACCATGAGGGTTGTGTCTTTGCTTTCAAGATTGCCACGAGCGATTGATAAGATTGCTATAATTTGTCGGATACTTTGGTTTTCATGATACGTGGAGTTGTCTTCATTTTCGAGAGTGCCACGGGTTGCGATATTGATAAGAATTTATTATTCTTTATTCTTTTGATATCATTGAGTAATTCTTTCTAGAGATTGTGGTAACATTGCTAAAATTATCTTCCTCGTAGCCATGTTTGATTAGGGACATTTTCCATAAAAAATGAAAAAAGTTTTCCATTTCCCCAAAAATGTAAGGACTGATTAGATAGCAAAGTCAAGCTTTTAGGAGCTTATGTGGGCTTAGACGAAGTCTAAGTATAGCCTAGTCATAAAAAGCATAAAGCATGACTAACTGGTCAGGTCAAGATTCGCACCTTGACGAAGCTTAGTCGAGCTTTCTTTAACACCCACAATGAGCTATTTATATTATTTTTTAAATGAAAATGTTTAATAAATAACATTATTTAAAAAATTCAAATTGTTCTATTGAAACTTGAAAGATCCTTATACTTGGTAAATGAAAATAAAGTGTTCTAATAAAAATATTTGTTACTTATAAAGTTATAATACACCTTAGGTTACCACAATAAACTTTATTTAATACAATGTTCTAACCTCTTACATAGTGGACTTGACAACATATTAACCATTGTAAGACACGATTTTGTTACATGTGCATCAAAATTTACACTACGGATTACATAATATCACATGACACTGTATCATTTGTCAGTTTAAAATACAATTAATTTTGTTTCCAATCTTTTCCTTACACATCATATTATGTAATTCATTATGTACATTTTTTTTTATGTACAAGTAGTAAAATCATTTTTAAGAAATGATTCGTGAGGATCAAGCCTGTATAGACCATACTAGACCCTAAGTTGCTTCAGCACATGAATCTAGGTCGAAAAGATAATAGGACTTCAAGATTTTGGCAGCTCGTAATGGGAATCTCTTTCTCAAGGCCCACTAAACTTCAGCCATCGAACTGTTCGAAATTGACAAAACTAATACTAATTGGGGATGATTTTTGACTTAAGTACTTGTTTATAAATAAGAACTATTGAGGAGGAGGAGTGGGTGTGGGTCCAGCGACATGTACAGAGTAGTTGTAAATATATAGTCAGAATTAATGTTTAACTTTGATCAAATTATGTTATGATTTTTCCAACCAAATACTTCAACATCCTTCTGTAAAATCTTATCTTACTTCTTTCTTTTCAATTTTTTAGGGTTGTTTGATTGGTTTTATTTATTTATTTATTTTTTATGAAAAATGCCATTTTGCTACTTAAATTCTTACTTTTAAGGAGTATAATTGACATTTTTTTTCATGAAAAATATTTTTCAAAAGTTGGTCACGTAATTATATATTCCTAAAAAATAAGGAAAATATTTTCGTTAGTGAGGGATATGTTTTTATTTTTCAGTCAATTCTCTCTCTCTCTCATCTATCCCATTTCTCTCATCTACCCACAAATAAAAGATGAACAAGATAATATTTCTAGGTTGAAAATTAAACTAATTAAACACATTTAACCCTTGTTTGGTGGGCATTAAAATAATTTTTTTAGCAAACTTTGATAAAAGTTGATGAAATGTGAGGATGAAAAGCGATGAATTTTATGAAATATGTGATTAAAATAAATTGTTGATTTTAACAAAAATCTAGATTTTAGCCCCCATTAAAAAAATTATAATCCATTTTTCTCATTTTTTTTTATCAATCACACATTCTCCAATAAAATAATATTGCATGTAAACCCAAAACAATTTCTTCTTTTTTAATCACACATTTTTCAAAAAAATATTATTCCAAAAATTATAAACTCAAATAATAAACGATAATAGGGGGCCAAATGGGGGCTTAATTTCTACCAAACAATGCTTAATTAATAATTTTCATACAAATAAATTCTAAATAATTAAATTGTCTTACTGTCCATCAAACACTCCCTTATTTTCTTTACACGCAAGTTCTATGATTGAAATCAAGATTCCCCTATCCATAAAGGGTCTCTAATTTTTATTTATTTATTTTTTCTCATGCATTAGAGAACTCGTATCATCTTGACTCGGGATAAGCACAAAGGGTCAGAAATGTTTGGGTAGAGATTTTTATGAAGTTTGTGTAGAAGTTTTTACTAGAAATAATTACTCACTCAAATTTAGTCGAGAATAAGTACGCATGATTGAGGCTTCTGTCTAATTTGAAAAAATTTAGACTTTATTTTCGGAGGCAAATAGATTTGCCATTTAACTTGCCTCAAGAGAGGTTGACGATAAGGTTGGTCTTATTTACTAACTGGGAGGTTTGCCCAAACAAGAACCACGTTTGGCAAGCCTTTCCTCATTGGCAAATTGGGTTGCTAGCTTTGCCTCACCGGAGAAATTCCAATGAGACGTTTAGAGATTGTTGGATGTTTGAATTATCCGTGATGATGAGTTCAGTATGTGACGCGTGGATTTCTGTTTGATGTTGCTCGTGCGTGACATTCATGTGAATTTGTAATTAAAATGAGTAGCAAATCACATAAAACGTTTAGATAATAGATGGTTAATAGTTGTGAATTTGTTATTAAAATTAATCGCTAACTTTGACGTTAAATTATAATGAGATTTTAATTTTTCCCAAACTAGCATATAGGACTAAGTATAAACCTTAGGTGGTATTTTGGTGTTCCGAGTGCAGGAAGTGATTCTTGGGATAGAATGATTCTAAATGCATGTGAGAAATATGACCAAACATCTACCATAGTAATCAAACATATCTGAGTTTCGTTAGGATCTTTAAAGTTTTTGTTATTTTTATTTAATACGAAATAAACAACAGATGTAATAGTTCAGTGAGTAGAATCGTGATTGGGTGAAATGGAATTGGATGCATCTACATTACTTGTGTAAATCTTTCGGCGTTACAAATTTAATTATTGAAAGTGAATCATGATTTTTGCTTTTTTTTTTTTTATGTATACAACCGTATATTGCAATATCGCAACAAAATTATCA